GACCTGTGCCTGCTTCATTGTCTTATTTGTAAGATGGATTCCTCACAGATGTGTTTTAAGGATCAGATGAGTCAATACTCTTAGCACTTGCCAGGTACTCAGTAAATGCTCAACAGATAGCTGCCATTATTACTGTTGTTTGTGTTAATGGCAGTCTTTCTGACAAACTCTTTCTAAAGCAGCTGTCTGTGGGTCAGGTCCTCATGCCTGGTATCTTTATCCTCACTTTATTCCCATCTCTATGTCAACAGTTACTAGAGAGAATAGCATATAGTATAATTTGGAAGCCCTTACTGCTTCAAAAATCAGTCTTGGAATCCTTTTACTATCATAATTTATTTTCATCAGGCCTAGAATAATTGCCCTAGTACTTCAAGGTTATGAAACATGCTAGTTTGAGCAGAGCAGTCAAGCTGAAAATGTTCTGGCTTGTACCAGCTTTTATTAGCCCATTTGCCTCTCAGGTAAAATGAGGATAAAAATAAATTAAATCATCATTCTTCAGCTACTCATTATATATTCTCTATCCCTCTGAGAAGAACAGGTAGATAAAATCTAACTACTTACTTTCCTTTGTATGAACTATGTGCAACGTGCGTCCTAGTACAATTTTGTCTTCTTACTTTGCTGTCAACACATTTCTTTTTTGAGTTGTAAGGTTGTCATTCATTTGTTTCAGTCCTTTTGACAAAATCAATCCATATACCCCAACTTAGGTGATTTCCACAGTGAAATATGTTTGTAAACTCCATCCACTTATGGACTTAACAGCTCCAAGCTTTTCCCAGGGGCTCCTAAGAAACTGCAAGTCTAGTCATCACCCTTTTAAGATTAAGACTTGAAGACAAAGGGGACGTTTTTGTCAGCTTTTTAAAAAAATCAAAGAGTTTTTGGAAGTTTTTTACTATACACATATAAAAGGTAACCAGTTTTTCTTATTTATTGAACTACCTGAAAACAGAGGGTTTTTCTTTTAATTCTGTGTAGAAGTTAGTTCGTGTTGACGCTTGCAAAACATTTAAATCTAATTAAAGTGAGGATATCATAACAATATACCAAGAGACTTCTTGCCTCAGTACTATTCTTTATTCCTTTTGTTTCGATTTCCTCTTGTTTGAACCTTCATCTTTAGCAATCACTTAACATACAAAATTACCAAACCATTTCGTTTTGACCAGGTTTCATTTAAAAATACCACAAGTGTGTATGTTTTTCTTTTGTTATTGCCATTCTCTGAGATGCAAGAATGATTGAAAATGGGAAACTGGAGAAGGATTGTGTTAGTTAGGTCTGTCTGCCGAGAAGGACAGAGCAAGGTCATATTTATATTGGCAGTTTGTTGAGTTCAAATGAACCACTTCAAAGGGACAGGAGGGCCATGCATAACTGAATAAGTTTGCTCTGAATGAAAGGGTTTTAATTCCTGACAGTTCTCATCATTTAATCATAAACAACCAGTCATTTAACTATAGAATGTTTCACATACTAAAAGGAATAAAATAGTATAATAGGTTAACTCATTTTATTGAAAGCCTCTTTAGCCTACAACTGTTGTTTGTATTAAGAAACCTGGCACATAGGAAAGGCCTGAAACCTGATTTATTCATCGGATTGCATCTACTTAAGTCAGGGGTAGGGAACCTTTATCTGCCAAGGGCCTTTTGGATATTTATAACATCATTCATGTGCCATACAAAATTATCAACTTAAAAATTAGCTATGAAAAAAGCTCCTAGATTTATTGAATTTCGAGTCCTGCCTGTGATTGCCTTGGCAGGGCCAGGCCAAATGATTTCACAGGCCATATGTGGCCCTCGGGATGTTCCCCGCCCCTGACTTAAGGAGTAACCTCCATCTAGAACATAGGATGTGAAATGTGCAGCTTTGGCAATCAGCAAGGATACAACATTTCTATCATTAACACAGCTGGACCAGAGGAGAGGCCTTCTTTCATCCATAGAGATTATTTAACTGTAAAAAGAAAATTGTGGTTTAAACTTTAGTTTTGCAAAAAAGACATAGCAATGGAACTTTCTTCCAGTAGCTGCTCCTTATTTCTCAGATATTTCCTGAGATGGAGATAGCAGAATTTGAACTTGAATGAGGATAAAGATATTTGGACCTGTAGTTGGAGTGTTATATTATTCTTCATTCTCGAGGTCTAGGTGGTGGCTTACAAGTATGTGTTTGGAGCTGCTGTTTTTATGTCCACCATATAAAGCAGCCCTTTAGCTATTTCCCACATGGTCATTCACTGGTGGGAATGACCACTTCCCTGTGTAAGTGCTAGACCCACCTGAATTCTGTTCTTACTGCTGACTGAAGTCTGGAGGCCCGCACCTGGACACCACCACACACACTGCCCAGCACCTAAACGTAAGGAGCTGCTGGTTTTCCTCTGGTTCCGAGCCTCAGCTTCTCCAACTCTATCCCTCCCTGAGCCTCTTCCACCTTTAGTCCAGCCACACAAGACCATTTAGTAGTCAATATACATTCTGCATTTTCCCACCCTTCTGCTTTTCCTATGTTGTTCTCTCCATGTGGAAGGCCCTAATTTGAACCTAAATCTTCCCCATCTTTCAAGGTTCTACTCAGATCCCAACCCAGTCTTTGAATTTTTGCATCAGAAGTCATCTTCCTCCCTCTGTTCTCCCACCAACTGCAGTTTGTATGTTCTTAACATCTACAATCTACTTTGGTCCAGACATTTTATGTTGAAAATTTTCCAATATTCAACAAAGTTGAATGAATGGTACAGTGAACATTCATATACTTGCCATTTAGATTCTACAGTTAACATTTTGTGATATTTGCTTTATCACATATACAGCTGTCCATTCATTCACCCACCCATCAATCTAGCATATATATGTTATATATATAAAAATACATATGTGTGCGTATATACATATATTTCAAAGCAAATTGCAGACATCAGTACATTTTAACCCTGGCATTAACTAGAGTTCAATATTTTACTTTTCCTTTTTAGGGAAAATTTATGTACAGTGAAATACACAAATCTTTTATGCATCATTTAATGAGTTTTAATTCCTCTGTATACCTTTATCATGCAAATCACTGTCCAGATATAGAACATTACCATCACACCAGAAAGTCTTCTTGTGTCCCTTTTCAGTTGATTGCCATTTCTACTCTGAAAGGCAACCACTGTTCTGATTTTTTCCACCATAGATTATTTGGTCCATTTTTGAACTTCATGTAAATGAAATCAAACAGAATGTACTCCCTTATATAAGACTTCCTGCATTCAGCGTACTATTTGGGGGTCCATCCATGTCCTTGCCTGCATCATGTGGTGGTTCCTTTTAATTGCTGAGTGGTACTCCATTTTATGAATATACCACATATGTTTATCTATATCCTGTTGATGGAAGCTTGTGTAGTTCTCAGTTTGGGGATGTAAAGTCCTTGTTGGCATGCTTTCATTTTCTTTGGTTAATACTTGGGAGGAAATTGCTGGTGTATAGTAGGGTAAGTTTGTGCATAGTCTTGTAAACTGCTAGACCTTTTTCCAAAGTAGCATCATTTCACCCTTTCAGCACTGATGTATTACAATTCAGGTGCCCACAGCCTTGCCTACACTTGGTGTTGTCAGTTGTTTTAATTATTCTGGTAGATGTTTTGTGTTGTCTTATTATGGTTTTAATTTCCTCTTCCCAGATAACAATGATGGTCTGTCTTCTCAGTTCCTCTTAGTTTTGTGTGTTTATTTGGATGGCTTTTCTTGTGAAAGATCTGCTTAAATTTTTTGTCCATTTTTAATTTTTAAAAAAATATTTGTATGATAAGCTTAAGGATTCCTTTATATATTCTGAATACCAATATTACATGAGATATCTTTAAAGAGTGGACATCTTTAATTATGATAAAATATGTCAACTTTTTTGTGGTTATTTACTTTGTGTCCTAAGAAATCGTTGCCTATCTAAAAGTCACAAAATAGTCTATATTTCCTTTTAGACATTTCATAATTTTAGCTTTTACAGTTAAGTCTTTGCCCATCTCAAATTAATTTTTATGTATGGTATGTGGTAGGTGTCAAGGTTAGTTTTTTCCCTATCTGGATAGCCAGTTCCACAGGTTGACTTTTGTGATTGTGTCCTCCTTGCCCTCATATTGACTTTCCCTGTTCACCTTTGACTGATTATGACCTGGCATAATTCTTAACACACAGCAACTACTCAAGACATGTTAATTGAATTGAATTACATTAAAGATTTAGAGGATAATAGAGAACTCTGGCGATCTTTTCATGTCTCAGTTTTGGAATTTGTTTTACGGGATCCATCCCCCAAATTAATTGATTACTCGAATCTTTCTCTTTGGAGTGAAGAATGGAGATAGTCAGCTTTTCGTTAGATTGTTAGTATACGCTGGACACAGTGCCTCACTGCTTTCCACGACTTCTTGTTTTATCTTCTAGCAATCTGTATATTTGAGTACTGGAGATTTTAAGTGACTTTCACATTACACAATTAATAAGTTGCAAAGCTAGGAATTCTCTAGGAGAGCAAAATTGGAGAAAAGCCAATAACTTTACTCTATAAGATTTCTGCAAAAAAATTAACACTTGATTGCTTTTAAAAGTGTAGATAACTTAATAATAAAACTTGGTAAGTAATTAAACATATTAAATTCTGAATCAGCCCAGTTGAGGATAACTAAAAATTTCAGTCTTCTAACAGTACTCCAAGTGTATAGTAATATCCACAAAATAAAAACCCTTGGGAAACATATTTGGGCCTAAATCTCTGTGCTAAGTTTCGATTAGATAGGAAAAAGGCATTAAAAATCATAAATATCTTCAGGGCCAACACACTGCCTATGATTTTTTGTAATGTTCTAACAGTCAGGTTATAGAACCAAGCTCTTATTTCAGAAAGCCAGATGTTCCCCTAATGTATAGACTTGAACAGTCTTTGTGCCTCCTGACTGTCTGGGGGTGATGTGTTGGTTGATGTTTTCTTTGTTCTCAGGCATGCTTCAGAAGTGTCCTTCCGTTGATGACTTTGTAAGTGCCCTTGTCTCCGACTTGGATCTGGACTTCGAAACTTTCCTCATGGATTCTGAGTGACAGAAACACCTTGAATCTTTTAAGTCAAGATCATGTAGATATTAACTTTGTTGTAAATGCTACAGCTGCTAACACTTGTTTCTGATTTCAGTATTCAGTTCTGTAATAATTTATGAAAAACCTTAAATGTATGGAACTTGGAATAAATAATTGTTTTAATTAAGCTGGCTTTTAGTCTGTTTGGCAGATTTTTGAACATATGGAAATCCACTCAGTCAGCTAGTAAAAACTAGAGCATAGAGTTAGTTGTTAAATTTAAGGTTTGGGCATTTCCTTAGTCTAGCCACTTTCCTTTTGAACATTTTAAATCATTTTCCTTGATCTTTGATTGATTAAAGACTTCATTAAAAGCAAAATTATTCTAGTTTGTGGCAGTCTTCAGAAAGGTTACACATCTAGTTCTTTTGAATGATTACCATTTCTCAAGACCACTGTACTAGACTTTGAAAATGCCATTGGGGTATTCCCTATAACAACCAAGAAACCAAGTATGGTTTCCAAAGTACTTGTACTGACTGCATTGGTTTTCTTCTGAGTGTTTAGGCATACATAGTTGGACTCAGAACAGACAAGACTTGAACTCATACTTCTTTGGCTGGATTATGAATGTACAAAAATAAGTGCAGGTCCAATTTAATGAGTGATGTGCCAAAATCCAGCAACTGATAAATAAGGAAACTGGGATTTAAATCATGTCTGTCTGTATCCTGAACCCATCTACCTTACATTATTGTACAATGTACTGTATCACTGTGTGTTAACAATAAGAAGTGATTTAATGGGGTTTTCCGGCCATCAAAGTCAAGAATTTAATTATAGACTTTAAAATGGCATCTGCAAGAAGCCCCTTCCAGCTTCTTACTGAATGACCAATGACAATGCAAAATGGCAAGATTAAAAATCCCCAAAACTAGGACACATGTCCAACCAATTCACAGAATCTGGAAGAATTCCTACAAGCTCAGAAAAAGATGAGACTAGAAGAAGAAATGCCAGTGGACCACCCATGGATACACCTGGATATACGGGGGACTGACCCCTCATTTCCCCCCCACACACTGAGAAATCCAAAGTAGGCACCAGCCAGAGAGCAGTGCACTGGCATAGCACCCATTCAGTGCTCTCACAGCCCCTGGCTGCCCTTTATTCCTCTTCCAGCTCCTCCCCTCTGGAATTTCTGAGTCTGTGAATACTTGGAAACTGCAACACACAGCGAATCCTCGGGCAGGACACAGGGCAGGCCCCACAGTGGTGCCTCCTCTGTACCCAAGCAGAGTCGGGGAAGGGAGGGCAAGGCTTGAGTAATGCTAGCAATAGGAGCCCCGAGACCAGTGCCCGGGGAGGAATCTAGCTGTTCCTGTACTCCACCCTGTTTATTCACAGTGTCTGAGCTAAGGTAAGAAAAATCTTACCTAACAAATGTGCACTACACAAATGCTAACTCTCTTCTGAGAAGTGGACTTGGAGAAATTGATATGAACCTGCCAGTCAGTGGCAGGTAAATCTGAAAAGGTGCTTTGACCGCCTCCCAGGTGTGCCAACAGTGACAATTCCTTTTCAGCTGAGGGTGAGTAAGGAGAAAAATCTATAGGGAGCCCACGTGCAAACATTCTTCAGGAAAAGGAAAGATCACCTGGAGGAGAACTTGGAAGATTATTTTGCAAAGGAAGAAAAACACATTGGAGGAAACCTCTATTATTCTTAGTGAGATTTGAGAAAACAGTATTTATGAAGCTGAAAGCCATCAACAGCAAGCAGAAATAAAAGGATAATAGGATAAGATAGGTGAAAGGGAGGGAGGCAGGGAGGGAGGGAGGGGAAGAAATGCAAAGAAACTGAAACACATGCAATGATTTAAAGCATAATCAAAGCAGAAAAGGGCAAAGTTGTCTAGGGTGAACTCGAGAAACATCTCAGAATGCAGACGGGCTGTGAGAGCTGGTAGCAGGGAAGAGGAGGAGAGATCTGCCTCTGCCAGACAGAATTCCTGAGGAGGAAGGCAGGATGCCCGGATAGAAAGCAAATTCTTATGTCCTGTATTCCGGTGCTCAAATGGTGAATGCATGCTATTTGTACATGCTCTGGCAAATATATATTCAGTGGGTGAATTTAAGAAAACATTTTTGAGATGAGAAAGAAAATAGAGTGCAGTTTGAAAGGAAATCCTTGATGGTTGCCCAATAATGTGACTATACTTAATGCCATTGAACTGTACACTTTAGTAAATGGTTAAATCATTAGATTTTGTTATGTATATTTTACCACAATTAAAAAAAAATAAAGCGAATCTTGCATTCCAGGCCAAACAAAATGATGAAAAGAGACCCTAGCCTAGACACTACCTGCCCTTTCTTTTGAGAATTTAAATGTAAATTAAAATTACAAGCCAGCATACCCCAAATTGGGCTTTGCAGAACACTTCCCAGGATGTTACTCAGTTTTCCATGAACTCAAAAGGGTCCTGTTGTTAAATACATTTGGGAAATGCCAAATAAGTATTGATGGTTCACTGTGCACAGTAGCAATCCTACAGTCACAAAACATACCTAGCATTGCATATATGGCCTAATGTTTCCCAAACATACTTGACTATAGGAACTGCCCCCTTTTTTGAGTACCTATTGGGGACATTTTTCAGAACACTGGGAAACAACTGCTACAAGCATTCAGCTAGAATTAAAAGCCTTCCATATAAAGGAACACAAATTGTGGTGATCCCAGAATCATCATAAGGGTACAAATAAATGGAATTGTATATCACCATTAAATGCCAAAAGACAATGAAAAACAGGTTCTGAGAGGTAAAAACTGAAATGCAAAATGGCATTCTTAGATAATACGAGGGCTCCAGAAACATCTCAGGTTTGTACCCTTTTTCTTTTTTCCTTTTTCAATTTATTGGAGTGACACTGGTTAACAAAATTATACAGGTTTCAAGTGCACAATTCTGTAGCACATCATCTGTAAGCTGTATTGTGTGTTCACCACCCCAAGTCAAGTCTTCCATCACTATTTATTTCCCCCTATACCCTCCTCCTGGCAAATCACCCACTGTTGTCCATGTCCATGAGATTTTTCTTTTTTTCCTAAA